ATTGGAAAGTCTCTTCCTAAGTTAGATAATTTGAAGGTAGTTGTTAAGAACATATACTCCGTTTTAGTGACATTTAAGCTTAACTTATTTGCAAGAGGCCAGTCCCTAACGCGAGTTAGGTCATTATTTACCTTGGCATATAGTTCAGCAGTGGATACAGAGGACGCATATATCATGGTATCATCGGCATACATGCACTGTAATTTTCAGGGAGTTATAATAACTCCTCTAGTGGGGCTAATTTAACTCCTTACAGTGGAGTTATTTTTCGTGGAGTTATTTTAACTCCAAAAAGGAGTTTAAAGAACTGTTTTTCAGGAGTAAAAGTGACCACAGATTTTGAGGAGTTAAAATAACCCCAAAAAAGGAGTTATCCTGTACCTAAAATTTTTACTCCACTTTCAGAGTTAAATTAACTCCAAAAAGAGTGAAAACAACCCCTGTAAGGAGTACAAGTAACCCCATTTCGGAGTAATTTTAACTCCAAGACTGGGAGTAAAAAGAACTCTTTTTCAGGAGTAAAAATGACCCCAAATTCGGAGTTAAATTAGGAGTTAAAATAACCCCCAAAAAGGGGTTATCCTGTACCTAAAATTTTTACTCCATTTTTGGAGTTATAATAACTCCCTAAAAATTACGGTGTGTGTGCTTTGGTATGGAGAAGACATCCAGGGAGATCATTGATATAAATTAAAAACAACAAAGGGCCTAAAATTGAACCCTGTCTCTCTCTCTCTCTCTCTCTCTCTCTATCTTTTTAACTGCACTAAAAAATACAGACGCTTTGACGCTTTCTTGATTACGTCACTAATATGTTCGTTCCACTTAAGGTTGCTCGATATGGTCAGACCTAATAATTTCGCACTAGTCACTCTCTCCAGCTCTAGTTCTTTACCACCTACTATAGTAGGCGCAAACTAGGGCTCATTCTTTACAAAAGATATTCTGCGCTCCTTTCAATTTTCGCTATTGAGTTTGACTCTATTTTGCATAGACCACTCCGCGACCTTATCTGCGATATCCTGGGCACAACTGCGGTTGCCCTTGGCAACGACACCAAACTGGATTTATCCAGTGGATAACGCTATCTATCTTTCGAACAACCGGACCCAGAAGATTAGATATCCTTGAGCTATCTAGCTTGAATTCCAGCCGCCGCCTCCTCCTCCTCCGCTCGACATTGTGATTTGCATAAAAAGGAAACTTATAAAATCCACCCTCAGGAAGTGAACGAGGGTTGGCGGGCAGATTGTGTGAGTTGAAAAAACAAAAATAAGTTGTGAAAGAGGTCAAAGTTATACTGTCAATGATGGGTCTGTTCAATTGGTCAGCAAATGTATGCAGAATATATTTTCCGAACGTTCCAAAAAAAGGAAGAAAAAGAAAAGAAAAACAAAATCAACAGTAAAAGAAAACAATGTTGATTGAAAATGGTTATGTTGAAATTAAGTTTCAAACTTACAATTCTAAACTGCTGCGTTTTTTTATTATTTTTAGTTAACTGTCAATCTTGTTGAAATGTTTATTTCTATAAGCTGGCATGTTTTTTTTTTCCAGATTGTGGAAAGCCGATCTATTTTATTTATTTATTTATTTATTTTATTTGTTCCTCCTTTCATTGCTCTCCACGGTTCTGCAACAATTTTTGTTGCTGTTCTTATGATATTGATGGTAATGTTCACTGCCGTATATACACGTGTGGTGGGTATGCACCATCCCTGGTGTTGGTATATGATTCACGCTTGGTGTGATCCAGGCACTTATTACATATTTTGGTCTTCCCAGACCAGTACTCAATAGCAGCACATCCGGGACAGAGCTGTTTACATTGCTCCAATGTGACTCCACCACCATACTGAAGCTGAATGCGATAGCTGGACGTACACCATTGGGGCGTATGATCTACCCATTGGTTTGAAACAACTATCAAAACGAATCAAAGCAAATATTGAATTATTTGGATGAGAGCCCTAATCTGATTCAGGGGTATTGTCTCCAAGTTCGATATTTTCGTGGAAAACAATACCTACCAGTTCTGTATATTTCAAATGCATTGTTAGTTTCTGCTGTTCATGTGAAAATGAAACTTGGAGACAATGGCTGCGTTCACATTTACGACGTAACTAAAGTTTACCTTAAGTTAGTGTCAAGTTACGTGACGTCATACCTAACTATAGTTAGTGCTTTCGGTCGACTTTGCGGTCACACCACGCAGTTAACAACAGTTCTAATTACCCTATGTAAATTTTTTGCTTGTTTTTGGTTTCCCCCTCGCGCTCGCTTCACGCTTGGTTTTTATTTTGCATATTTAATTAGTTGTAGCTTTCGCTAAGTGCCAACGAAAGAAAAAGAATTTGCCTACATCACCGGGTTAGTTCCAATGTTTATAAAACCATTTTAGCTGCTGAGGCTAGAATTTCCACTACAAGCACTCCTCGTTCCTACATTTCGGCCATGCTCTTGGCCTTAAAATCGCTCTTATTCTTCTGCTTAGACATTTTTTAACCTTAAACTTGTCGAGTTTCAAACAGCGATTGGGAAATAACATTTATAGGTTAGCGCGAACTTGAAATAGCGAGTTGTAGTTCGTACAAATACAGTAGTGTGGCAGAGAACAATATCCGAACTTTGAAGGTTCGTTGTTTACAACAAAGGTCATCAAAATTCACGTGAAACTACGCGTGAAATCTAACGCCACTAAAATCCCCAGGGAATCTACACCTTACATTACACTTTTCACAGCACGATCGAGAATTTTTTTGGCTGCCGCAACACTTCGCGTGGCATTAAGCTGGCCACCCCGCAAGCCGACCGTCTTCGCTCGGCTTTCTCGTTGGCAATTATGTATGCTCATCTCGCACGTGTGAAAAGAAGTGTCACATTCTGATTGGTTGTTTGTTTGTAAACTTAAGACTAACCCACGAACCCTGCTTGGGTATACTATAGTTAGTCTGTATTGTTTTGGATCACCGAGGCGTAAATTTTTAAACTATAGTCAGAGCGAACAGAGAAGCGGTCATATTACCGAAGTAGCTAATTATAGTTATCCCGTCTTAACTATAGTTAGTAGCCCAGATGTGACCGCAGCCAATACCCCTGAATAACGAGACGCTCTCTCTTGCAAACACGAAATTATTATTACTACTTTACACTCTTTGAAACCTTGAAACGCAAAGGTCATATAAAACTACGGTCAATTTCGAGAATCTCAAATTTTATAAAAAGTATTGTACCTCGAGCTGCACAGTTCAACGTCAAATTGCTCTTCTTTTTTGTAGAAACGTTCAGGGGTGGAGTATGGGTAAATTCGAGCCTATCAGTCGCGGTTATTAGTGCAAACGCAGAGTCCCTCCCAAGGGAATTCTTTGCTAAGCATGCGTAGATTTCGCTATCTGCCTTGGCCACGTTCTGTATAGTTAGGTTGCCATCGAGAACGGCGGTCTTTCCTTTTTTTAGATGACCTAACGCTTTTACCCACGTGACAGTGGGAGTCGGCCGACCACTAGCTTTACACAACAGCGTTACGTTTTCTCCTTCCTCAACGATGACGGAAGAAGGTTTTTGAATAATTAGCGCTGCAACTACAAGAAATAGGCATTGGGCAAACAAACTTTTCTTTCCAAAATTACGTAATGAAAACACCCGTTTCTCCTCGCTCTTCGTAGCTGGGGATTTTTCGCGCGAAACGTCCCCAGCGGCGAAGAGCGGGGAGAAACGGATGTTTTCGCAGGCTATGTTTTCGGGGTGTTTTTAAAAATGGATACCCTGAATCGCGGACTTGACAAACAAAATGCAATAGACATGCAGATACAGTCTGCCAAAAGAAGTAAGAACACGTCGTCTAAGGCACAGCCAATTCTACAAAGGCACTATTCTTATAGTTAAGCCATCTCGACAGAAGTGTTTCGTCGTCAATCCAAAGGAAAGTTGACGAGAGTTCTCAGTTCTGGACACATCCGATTTCTAATCATGCGCGTACTTAATAAGTAACCAGTAAGTATAAACGCCACAAAGCCTTTAAGTCCACTAGAAAATAAGACACAGAGCTGCCATACAGTTGGGAGCTAATGTATCTCCCAACAAAAACGAACAATCAGCCTTAAACTTCATCATGCAGTCAAATAAAGTATCGAAACATGCATGCATTTGGAGCCCATCGACCGGTTTGATAACGCGCGTTGTGTCACAGAGTGTGACAGTGTGACAGATCAATCGATCTCCAAACGTTATTCATCGAATCTCTCTGTGTCTATCTCTGCACAGCCAGATTTTAAATCAATCATTGATCAATTACTAAGTTTTGAAACTATTAAAACTCGTATCAACCATAACGTAACTTACATTAACATACAGTGTAATCTAAATAGTAATCTAATCGATTTTGACACAGAACCGCAGTTAACCGCGCTTAGAACCAGTACGCGCCCGGGGACTTCCCGCGCAATAGAGTCACGTGGTAAAAACACATGCTAAGGAACAAAGCTTCTTTGTATTTCAAAATTATGGCGGACGGCTGTTGATGGTTGCAACTTGCTTTGAGTTGCTCTTTACGTACTGCGCAAAAAGAGTATTTGTGAACTCTGTGGACTGTCGAGACGCGCAGATTTTGTTTTAATCACGAATCAAAATGTCTCCGAATTGTCAGCATTAAACTGGCTTTTACCTTTAAAGGAACGGATCTAAGTTCAACTGGTGGACACACGTACTGTTTGAGTCTTAGCGATGCAAATTAATGTAAGTACGATTGTTACTTATTTTAGAATAATCTGTCATTGGAACATCTAGGCATACGCGTTATGAAAAGGATAGTTGGATATATTACCTTTCGAAGAGCGCTGTAAATTAATTTATTACCAAGAGCCATTTTGGCTTTTGTTTATATGTGTTTGCTTTAATACCGGTCGTTTTGATACAAAGTAATTTCGATACACCAGGCGATATATCTCGTTTAGATACAAATTGATTCAGTCGAGGTGTACAACCAATATTTCGCAATATGTGTTTTTATTGTTCACGCGCAATACCTATACATCAGGTAATCGCAATATTTTTGCAGTTTCACGTACTGCTTAAGCATTTTTTTTTACAATTTTCCACATGTTAAATGCTATATGTTGTCTTTGAAACGTTTCCAGTAAGCCGAGTAATTCTTTTATCCCGAATTTGAATAATTCCACCTTGTCGCCTGACTCTTTTCATGAAAATGCTCCTTTTAACCGTGGAAACAGTCGATTTTGGAAAAAAAACAGTGGTATTTCACTTCTAGTGTGGTCACATATTAGAAAATCGAGGGGTAAAGCTTTTATAAAACTAAGAATATTCAGAACGTATCTGCTAGGAAATAATTAAAAACGTACGAGCATCTTTCGAGCACTATTTACAAATTTCAAGCACTTTTTCCAAAATTCAAACACCATTTGAGTACTTTTTCGCCATGTTTTGAGTTCATTTTGGCGAATTTTCCAGCGCAATCGGGACATGCCTACCAAGAACTTGCCGCAGCCACTAACCATCTTTTAGCCGGGGTGAAATTTCCTTTTTCTGGAACTGAAGATCCACCAGTTTTTAAAGCAAAGTGCCAAGGAGAACGTTGAATTAAGGAATGGGGCAGTGCAAATTTGGAGGGAGGTGGTCTGTTTTAGTAGGGATTTTACCTTTCGCATGGACATTTTAAATTCAATATCTACTCCCCATAAGCGTTCATTTTTTTATTATTACTAATGTATTATCTTTGTCACGTGACTTGCCACACCCATTTTTGACTATTTATTTCAATCCAAATTTACACCACTTTATAAATAACACTTGTAATTTAATTCATTTTTTGTCAATGACTATCGACACAAAGTTTATGGAATTGATCGGGATTTTCTTAAATTATCTATGTTTTGTATATCATAACGTTTCTTGTTAAGAAGGAGACTGGGACGAGAGAAAAATATCTAATACTTATGAAGGAATTGATCATTTCACAAATCCCCGATTAATTTAGCTTACTTGACTGTAAATGAAATATTATGGAAGGAAAAACGATTGTGGTCACATTCAGTAAAGTCCAAATTTTGCATAATTATGGGCGTGGCTGGTCACGTGATCTGAAAAAAAGTAGTATTTAAGGTCCAAAGTGGTTCTGGTCTTAAACACAGCGGTGTAAGGTTAAAATGAAGGAAGATACTGGAAAAAACAAGATCAAATCATAAAACCCTGCATATAACGAGGACCCATGCCTTAATTCACCTGTCCGTTTTGGGCAAAAATCAGGAAAAAATTATCCAAACGGCGGCATTATTCACCTTTTCTTCTGATTAGCAGCATGGCTTCGTGAAAGGGTGTTCCCGATTATCAAATCGTAAGCAAGGGGTTATAGCTGATGGCAATTGTTCAAGTGAGCTAAAAATCCCGTCAGGTATGTCACGGGAATCAATCTTGAGCCCCTTGTTTTCGTAAGTTAAGTTATCAGTGATCCTTCTGAGGTGGTCACTCCAAGAAAGTCGGTGGCACTTTATGCAGATCAATGTAACGCATTTAGAGTTATCTGTAATAACTTGCCCCAATAATCAGTTGATGTATTAAGGGGATCTCGATAAACTGTAACATGTAAGTACTGCAAGTTAGTGCGAATTACCAACCATTTAATATATCAAACATGACCGTAAATGAACGGTTATTTCTAGGAGGAAATTGACGAATTTCGCAGCCTTGTCCCACCTAAAACCACCATCTCTTTATGTGAATTGTCATATTGATACCATTGCGAGAAAAGCGAACAGAATTTTAGTCTTGATTATAATTAGGAAGAACACGTAGAGGTTCAACGACATCGTAACATTCAAGGTGTTGTATTGCACGATGTTGTATTGGTCACCCTACTCCTGAAAAGCGATTAAAAAATTTGAGCTACTTAATATGTCAGCGATGACGAGTAGTTAAATTGTCTCAATATGCTTTCGAAAAAGACACCATCCTTTTTTTCCTGTAAAAGGAATTGTGTAATAATCCCAGGAAGAGATGGGCCAAAGTTGGAGGGGCCAAGACAAGACAATCAACGAATTATCTCCGTCATTCTCCGTCATCTCGGTCATTCTCATACGAAAGAACTCTTCTTCAATGTCAAATAGCAACATTTGCAATGTCTTAAATGCTAATGCGTACGTACCTGATTGACACCTAGCCCCTTTGTATCCAGGCTGACAGCTACAAGTATATCCATTAGTCTTGTCAGTACACGATCCTCCGTTTAGACAAGGATTGCTGGAACATTCGTTGATGTCTGTGGCAAAATGTACAGTATGAGAAAAGACAACTTTGCATGGCAATATTAAAAGATTGATTACAAGTTTTGCCAAAACTATTCAGGGGATATTAAAGATATTTCTTTCTTGTTTGACACTGTGCTCCTGCGTATCCAGGCTGACAGCTACAAGCATATCTATTAACCTGGTCGGTACATGATCCTCCGTTTAAACAAGGATTGCAGGAACATTCGTTGATGTCTGTAATGAAAAATTAAAACACCGGAATACTCAACTTTTTATTAATAGAAAAATTACAAGATTGTTGTGCCGAAACAATAGTCAACAGGTGACCAAACCCTGACGTGACGTGCAAAGCGATTGCAAGAACGATAGCGCTTTCGAAATCTAGCCACTTTGTTACGAAAAATTGTATTGCGTGAGTAGCGTGACTTTCTAGAAGCTTCGCGAGAGTTCATAATTTGTTTATTTTATTTTATCTTGTGTAAGCGTTTCTAAAGCGGTATATTTTGTAATCTTTCTATAATTAGACTATTTGGAATGTTCTAGAACTTTATTGTAAAAGTATATAAGTAGGCGAGTCCGAGTTAAGTTTTAACTAGTTTTCACAAGCGAAGAGAGTTCGACGTTAGTCGTGTTTAGTCAAGTGTGACGAAAGCAGTGTTTATTCAAGTTGGCGGAGGCCGTGTAAGTTTAGCGAGTTACGTGCTGTTGTGGAGTTTTACTCAGTGGAAACTACGTTCATTTTGGAATAAATCTTCTTGTTGCTGTTCCGACAACCCTGCGTTCAGTTTAGTTTGCAAGCTACCCGTCCTCTAAAAGATTACCCGCGTAACATTGGGGGCCTGTCCGGGAGAGGAATTCAATTGTTTGCCGACTACAGTAACCAGGAAAGGACAGTTCAAGAAAAAGGAGTTTACAGAGAAGTGAGAATAACTGCTACGAGGAAGTATATAAATCGAATGTGTTTGCTGTGAACTGAGAAAATGGATAAGTTTATACAGATTGGAGAAAAGTTCGGATTGGAGGGAGAAAAGCTGCTCGAGTTTGTAGAAAAACAACAAAAGTTAGAAGAAGAAAGAAGGAGAGAAGAAGAAGAAGAAAAAGAAGAAAAACGTCGAAAACTTGAGGAAGAAAGAAGGAGGGAAGAGGAAGAGAAAGAAGAAAAACGTAGGCAGATAGAAGAAGAAAAGGAAGAGAGACGTCGAATACTTGAGGAAGGCAGAGGAAAGGAAGAAGAAGAGAAGAGGAAAGGCGTAGAAGAGAAGACGAAGAAAGAGAAACTAGGCGGCAAGAACGTGAACTGCGAAAATTAGAGCTGCAAGCAGTCCTGTTGAAACAGAGAGAGGCTATTGAAGCCGCTAAGAGAGAGCATGAACTGGAGCTCGCTCGTTTAGCACAAGGCCGTAACGATACCGAACTTACTGAAGTAAGAGAGGATAGGGCCAAGGCACCCAAGCTTCCCTCATTTGTTGATGGCAAGGATGACTTGGATGCGTACCTGCAACGATTTGAGAGGTTCGCAACTACAGCTAAATGGGAGAAGACAGGATGGGCTTCGAAACTTAGTGCTCTTTTGTCTGGACGAGCCCTAGAAGTTTATTCGCGATTATCTGAGGAGGCAGCCCAAGATTATGATCGAGTGAAGTTAGCTTTGATGAAGAGATATGACCTTACAGAGGACGGCTATCGTCCTAAATTCAGAGCATCAAAGCTGGAAGTTGACGAGAGTCCTGAGCAGTTTATAGTGAGACTGGATAGATACTTGTTACGTTGGTTAGAGCTGTCGAACACTGATCGTTCTTTTGAAGGCCTGAAAGATTTAATTGTGAAAGAACAGTTTATTGACTCTTGTCCAAAAGAGTTAGCTATTCACCTCCGTGAAAGAGCCCCGGAAACGCTTGCTCAGATAGCGAAGATCGCCGATCAATACTTGGAAGCACATGGAAAGCATCTGTTCAGTTCTGCGAGCAAGAAGCCACAAGTACAGCCTAAGGTGGAGGACACAAAGACCGCACAGAGTGATACAACAGCCCTCCAGTGTTACAAGTGTAATGCCCGCGGACACAAAGCTATCTTAACTGCCCAATTCTAGCTAAAAGGTGTTTCCTATGTAACAAGCAAGGTCATGAAGCGAGGAACTGTCGATCAGATGGACGAAAGTCAGGAGGCCAAGGTAAGGATGGTAACCCTGTACAACGTGGTCAAGTTAGTGCTGGCTGTTTGGTTAAGTCACCCGATCTTAACGCTACCCCCGAGGAAGTCAAGTCGTGTATTCAAGATGATTGGCTTCTGTTAGCCTGTGGCAAGAAAGTCCCGTTGCTGAGTAATGCCTGTGTTGAACCCTTAACTGGAGTAACAAGTAAGATGCCTGTTGTAAAGGGTAGAGTTGGAGAGAAGACTGTTGACGTTTTAAGAGATACTGGTTGCAGCGGAGTAGTAGTCAAGAAGGACCTTGTCGGCGAGGATCAGTTCACCGAGACTTAAACGTTAAGTTGCTTATTGACAACACAGCAAGGAAGGTGCCTATAGCGAGAATTTATGTTGATACGCCTTATCTTAAGGGCCATGTAGAAGCGCAGTACCTTTCAGATCCTATCTACGACCTTATTATTGGCAACGTACCTGATGCCATGGAAGCACAAAATCCAGACCCCAGTTGGCAAGTGGCCTGTGCAGTGACTACAAGAAGTCAAGTTAAGAAAAAGGATGAACGCCCAGCCTTGAAGGTGCCAAGTAGCCGTGAGAGCCCTATTGTGGATAGAGAGAAGCTCAAGCAGATGCAGCGTGAAGATGAGAGTCTGCGCAACTACTGGGATCGAGACGATGTGCTAATAAAGGGTCAGGCGGAGATTTCATTTGAAGAAAACTGTGGAGTACTGTACCGTCTGTACAAGCACCCTTATCTGAATGGTGGTAAACCGCTTAAACAAGTCATGGTACCTGGGAAGCTGAGACGCCCCATAATGGAAGTAGTTCACGGATCGATCATGGGTGGTCACATGGGCATAAAGAAAACAACAGACAAAATCCAGAGCGCGTTTCATTGGCCTGGAATTCAAAGTGACGTGACTCGGTTTTGCAAGTCCTGTGACGTTTGTTAGAAGACTGTAAGTAAGGGATCAGTGCCGAAAGTACCGTTAGAGAAGATGCCGCTAATTGACAAGCCCTTTAAGAGAGTAGCAATAGACCTTGTTGGGCCTATCAGTCCTTCGAGTGAAGACGGACACAGGTACATATTGACGCTGGTAGATCTTTCGACTCGCTACCCTGAGGCTGTACCACTAAGGAACATTGATACGGAGACATTAGCAGAGGCATTGGTGGATATGTTTAGCCGTCTAGGAGTACCTGAAGAGATCCTGAGTGATCTGGGCACACAATTTGTTTCTGATTGCATGAGAGAAGTTACTCGACTATGGAACGGATTGACGGAGAAGTTCAACGGAACGATGAAGTCTATACTGAAGAGATTGTGTAGCGAACAACCAAGACAGTGGCATCGCTTAATCAACCCTTTGTTGTTTGCATATCGTGAGGTTCCCCAAGAGTCTACTGGTTTTCACCGTTTGAACTGTTGTATGGAAGAGCCGTCAGAGGTCCGATGACCATTCATAAGGAACTTTGGACGAAAGAAGTAGAGGAACCGGAAGTTAAAAACAGCTACCAGTATGTTTTTGACCTGCGTGAGAAGTTGGAAGAAACCCTTAAATTAGCCCACAGTCAGTTACAGAACGCTCAGGATAAAGGAAAGCACTATTATGATCGCAAGACTAGAGTCAGAAAATTTCAGCCAGGTGAGAAAGTTCTTGTGCTACTACCAACTGATCACAGTAAGCTGCTGATGCCTTGGAAGGGTCCTTTTGAAGTGAGTTCAGTAGTAGGTCTTAACGACTACAGAGTTTAAGTGAAAGGAAAGAAGAAAGTTTATCACGCGAATCTCCTCAAGAAGTATTTTGAAAGAGATGAAGCTACCACAGAGGGAGCAGTAGCGGTGGTAAAAGCAGATGATCATTTTAAGGAAGATATGCACTGTGAAATTGAAGAATGTGAAGTAAAGGATGCGGAGGATGATGATAATGTTGATTTCCTAGAGATCGGTGGCTATGATGCTAAGGAATCTGTTGCAGATGTTACCACCGGGTCAAATCTCACTGACGAACAGCGTTCTGAGTTTATGGACCTAGCCAACCAGTTTTCAAGTCTATTTACCGAGGCACCAGGTACTACAGACCTCGCCCAGCATCACATCAAACTTACCTCAGATGAGCCTGTTCGGTCAAGACCATATCCAGTTCCTTACAGCATGAGGGAGTCGTTGAAGAAAGATATCGCCGATATGATTAAAATGGGAGTTATTAGGGAGTCTGATTCGCCCTATGCGTCGCCTGTTGTTGTAGTGAAGAAGAAAGACAATACCAATCGAGTCTGCGTTGACTATCGGAAGCTAAATAAGCGGACTGTTATTGACCCTGAACCCATGCCGACCGCGGAACACCTGTTCGAGAAGCTGAGTGGTGATACGTTTTTCACAAAGATTGATCTTAGCAAGGGCTACTGGCAGATTACCATACCTGAGGAGGATGTTCGGAAGACTGCGTTTGTAACACCCGACGGCTCCTACGAGTTCTGAAAGATGCCATTTGGAATGATTAACTCTGCAGCAACCCTGAAGCGAGCTATGAAGAAATTAATTGAGGATTTAGACGGCGTCGATTTTTACTGGGACGATATATTGGTTCATACACGCACCTCGAAAGAGCATATTAAAGCCCTCCGAGAGTTGTTTGCACGTTTATTGAGAGCTAGGATGACTATTAGACCAACTAAGTGTATTTTTGGAGCGAGTTGCGTTGATTTCTAGGGTCACCACCTAGAACAAGGAGTGCTTGGTCTACACGAGCAGAATGTCGAGAAGATTAAGAATGCGCTAAGGCCAGGTACTAAGAAGCAAGTTCGTTCATTTGTTGGTTTGGCCGGATATTACAGAGACTTTATCCCTAACTTCGCCGCTATTGCAGCTCCCCTATCGGACCTGACACGAAAGGGTCAACCAACTAGAGTCGAGTGGGGTCAAGCACAAGAGAAGGCATATCAGACCATCAAATTTCATTTGACGAATGAGCCAATTCCTCGTCTTCCAGACCCAGTGAAAACGTACTACTTGCAAACGGATGCGTCAAATACTGGAATTGGTGCCGTATTAATGCAGAAGCATGATGAGAAGCTGTTCTCCGTTTGCTACGC